TCAGTATCTTCGTTCATTAGAAAGTGTTGCTCTTCCTTCATTTTATTTTTCTCTTCCTCTTCTTTCTCTTTTCTTGTCTTTTCTTTTTTTTCCCCTCTTCCTCCTTTTCTTCCTTCTTATCTTTCTTATTCCCTTTTTTTCTTGTCTCGGTTTTTGGACTTCAAGGTTAGACAGTAAGCAGACCCTCACAGAGAGCGGTGACTGGAGAAAGGTTAACCTGGACTTTGCCTCTGGGTGCAACTTAGAATTTAGAGGGAGCACTTGCAGTTTTTCGGCAATTCAAAAACAAAGGAGTTAATTAAGCCCATAGGTACCAAGAAGAATTAGCTTAAATAGAAAGCTAGATGGCGCACTTCCTTTCCTTGCCTTCTGTACTCTCCTTTAGCAATTTCCTCAGCAATATTACAAGGCATTCCTCATACCTCTCCTACCCTCTCGTCACATCGTGGCATACCTAGGAATATCCCCAGGGTTTCTACTTCCATACCGTATCTCCCCAATTATGTCCCAGGATTCTTATCTATTCCCAATTGAACAAAGGGTACCATTTTGGTTGGTGAATCTTGGGTACAAAAAACTGTTAATTATGGTATAACTTCAAATATTGCCATCTCAATGGATAGAAGAAGAAAATGACATTGAATTATGAGAGCATAATAATAAATGACTAGTAATGATGTCAAATATTATATATTTCAATTGTCTTGAAATCCCTATAGTTACATTTGGATTTACAGGAACGATTTATAGAGTATATAAAATGGCAGCCCAAAAGAAATATAAAATGATCTTTAGGGTGTATGTAAAAATATAGTATCCAGGAAGAGGGAGATCATTTTTGAGGTATTCTGTCCTAGTTAGACTACATTAGGTTTCTTGTGTTCAGCTCTGGGTGCCACATTTTGGGAAGGAGTTTGACAAGCTACAGTCCATATGGAAGAAGGTCACCACTAGGATGAGGAAATTGAAGACAAAGATTGATTGACAGAACTAGGACTGTTTAGCTTAAAAAAGAAAAGCCTTAGAGGGGGTACTTGATAGCTGTCTTCAAGTATTTAAAGGATTGCTAAATGTAAGAGGAGTTAGACTTGATCCTCTTGGGTTTTAAGGCATAAATAGAAGGGATATACAGAAGATGCAGAAAGACATTTTATTTCTCTCTGTAAGGAAAGCCTTCCTTCACAAAATAGAGTTGTCTTAGTGGAATGAGCTGCTTTATAGTATGAGTTCCTCATCCCTGAAGAACTTCAGGCAGAGGTCAGATGATTTCTTCCTCATGGAACATGCAAAAGAGATTCCCATTCAGGTACAGGCTAAGCTAGCTAAACTCTAAAGTCACCTCCAACTCTAACAATATGAGATTCCTTGAATATCCAAGATATTATTCATGAAGAAGTATTTAATGACTGTTTTCATGAAGAAGTATTTAAGTAGAAAGAAAAGTTTCTCAAGAATATCTTGCTTATAACAACCCCAGCTTGGGCTACCAGTGAATTAAAATACTGTAATTATCTAATGCTGAATTGAAAAGAGATATAGTTCTTAATATGTTTCAGTGACCGCCAAACGAAGTGTTATTCTCTGACATCATAAGAGCAAAATGTCCATATATACCATAAGGATAAGATGTAACTTGGGTAACTAAGCAGTGCAGTGGATAGAGCACCAGCTCTGGAGTCAGGAGGACTTAAGTTCAAATTTGGCCTCAGATACTTACTAGCTGTGTGACCTTGGTCAAGTCACTTAACCCTGATTGCCTCCCCACCAAAAAATCTAAATAAATCAGCCTTCTAAAAAAGACACAACTACAACCAAAAATTTGATCTTTTAAGCAACAGGGTCAATTTTAGCCAAAAGATAGATTTAAACTTACACTTTGATAACATTCTAACTGTACCCATGTAGGGTAGCATAGCAGGGATTAATCTGTAAAATCAGAGCATCATAAATTGGAGCTGAAAGGACGTTAAAAGTCCTATAGTCACAAAGAATCACAAAGGATCACAGATCTGGAGCTGGAAGAAAACTCACAAGCAGGCTAACTATTCCTACCACCTCATTTTACAGGGGCCTCAAAATATTCTCCCAGAAAAGCCAAATACTTACATTTACAGTTTCTCTAAAGCATTTAGGAAGTCAGGTGTCTTCCATATTTTACCATTTTAGGATGACAGAACTAATCTAAGAGAGTGTGAGTTTAAATTTAGGAAATTTAAATTTGTATCATCTAGGCAAAGAAACCTGGTTAAATTTATAGTGAAATGAAAGTGATTTATCAGAAAAAGGATTAGGTATACCAACTGAGTCTAGGAGTTCTAAGCACAAGGAAATATATGGGAAGTTATTACATAGACAGGTTTAATGGATACATTTAACGAATGCAATGGAACAAGCAAGCAACAATCATAGACTGCCCCCCAAACTAAACAAATAATTATAACTACTCCAGCTCACCATTGAGTTTGTTGAGACTGGAGTGAATTCCTTTATTCTTTTAATAATGGTCACTAGTTTGTGAATTTTGTGGCCTGTGCCACATACAAATCAGATCCAGTTGCTAGCTAACAGCAAAAGCAAAATGGAACCTCAAGCCTTTTGAATTAGCAGTTCTAGATCTATTTATTTACTAGTATGTAACCCTTACTAACTACATTTGGCTTTACGTTACTGATAGTCATAAAATACTTTCATAGCAACTCTTCTCCCTTTGGTTTCGTTATCTGATGTAGTACAGTGAAGATAAGGAGTTTCCTGAAATTATCAGGAAAACCTAATGGCATCATTAATAATGGCATGGATATTTCTGGGAGGGATCAGTCTGCTTCAGAGTATATGTCAAGGAATCTTTCTTAAAGAAATATTAACACTTAATCATCATCAAAATTTAGGAAAAATTTGTAAATTATGACATTTATCCAAGTACTGTTAACATACTTTCAGATTTGTTTCTGTGATTGGGGAGAAGACAGGGAGTAGTCCAGACTTTTCATTTCATTTCTTAAAGAATTACCTGGGGTTACCAAGAGACTAAGTGATTTATCCAAGGTTGTACAGCCAGCATGTATCAGAGATAGGACTTGAACTCAGTTCTTCTTGACTCTTGGTCCAGCTACCTACCCACTATGCAAAACTGTCTCTCAAATTTGCTTTCTACTAAAGAAAAGCAAATAACAAAACTTTTTAGTATAGGCATCATAATGAATGAAGAAACAATATAGACCCATGAAGAAAAGTCAATTATCCACTATCAACAAGGAAAAAAAAACTCTTCCTTAAAAGAAATTAAATTTTCGTGATCAGTTATTTTTAACAAAATCACATAACAGGGTTTAAATATATCAGCATCTCATTTTCAAGTGTTAGAAGAAGGCATGATTGGGGACTGTGTAGTTGGTTGACAAGGGGCTAAGGGAGAGGCCAGAGAAGGCTGCATTAGCAGAACTCAGCACCTTTCTGTCTAAAGTCCTACCATTCATGTTAACCATGAGACTGGATGTCAAGTCTATGCTGTGGATTTTTATTTGACTCTTTGCCACAAAGGTCACATATTACTTATACTCATGGAATAAGCTTTTTCTGCTAATAATTTTTATGTCTGTGCCACAATCCTCAAATGGTTCTTTGCACCCAGTGTGATAAGTATTGCCTTCTGATTGAGCAATAATATTTGCTTAAAGTATGTTTTTCTGTCCCTCTAATGCACAGACTACATATACCAGTTATCTGAAGTAGCATACTATCATGCTGTTCAGTGTTAAATGAGTGGGCCTGATAGCCTATTGGGATTCACTATTAAACATCACATTCAGCCTCAGGCCAATTCACTTTGCCTCATGGAGTGAATATACTGAGCAAAATATGTCTCACCTTAGCTGGATGCCTTTGATTTGGTTGTTATCCTTCATTCTCGAAGAGGACCCTACAGTGTGTCTAACTGTCTGATCAAACCAATACAAGGCCAGAGTGTTCTAACACATGTTGGGCACAAACAGTTCTTGTGAACATTTGGGGTGGATTGCTTAATTTGCACATCTCACGTTTCTTTTGAGCTACTTCAATTCTGCTTTGCTCATAGAAGACAGTACCTTCTCTGATGTGGGCATGCCATGTTGAGTGGTCTTGTGCCAGTGTCTCCCATGTCGCACAATCAATTCCAAAGTTCTTAAGAGAGAACTTGAGAGTGTCTTTGCATTGCTCCTTCTGAACTATCATGTGAAAGCTTGCCCTGTGTGAGTTCTCCATAAAATAGTTTTTTTGGCAAGCATACTTTTGAACAACGTGGCCAACCCATAAGATTTGTGCTCTCTGAAGTAGAGTTTGATGCTTGGCAGTTTTTTTTTTTCAAGAAAGGACCTCAGTGTCTGGTATCTTGTCCTGCCAGCTGATCTTCAGAATCTTCCTAAGACAATTCAAATGGAAGCGATTCAGTTTCCTGGAATGGCCTAAATACCACCCACACTCCTAAGCAACCATATTTCTTTCTAATCAAAATGCTTTAATACTTTCCAAGTACTATATGTAATTTAAAAACAAAAGGAAAATAAAGTTTCTTCTAAAACAAATCACAGCAAGGTATGACTTGATATCTGTCTATTTAGTACCAATTTTGACAGTTTTTGGCATAGTTAGTTAGCCAATTTATTTACTATTTTGACTGACTGAAGGCTTATTTGTGATGCTGGAGCCAATCCCCAAAAAATTTTTATACAATTTATATTTTATACAATTTTTATATACTTTATATACAATTTCTATCTGGCTGGATTTTCTAAATATTTATAATGTGAAATTATTCATAAAACTTGTCTTTTGTAGTCATATATATATATATATACATATATATATACACACACACACACACACACACACACACACACTACCACAGGAAAACATTACTAACCAGTTATTAGAATAAGAATGTCATTATGAAACTCAACCAGTAACTGTAATAAGTCTCTCGATGGACAATATTTCTATAGCCAATTTTCTTCTCTCACCAGGTTCAGAATATGTCCCAGTCCATTGAAGTCTTAAACTTACGGACTCAGAGGGATTTCCAATATGTTTTAAAAATGGAAACCCAAATGAAAGGACTGAAGGCCAAGTTTCGGCAGATTGAAGATGACCGGAAGACGTTAATGACCAAGCATTTTCAAGTAGGTTTTACTTCCATAGTCTTTGGGAAAAGCAAGTGGGAGCAAAGCACTGAACCATGATGTATTAATTGCATCTATCTCCACTAGAAATAAGTGCTCATACAATGTTAAAGACTCATTTGGGAAAATATTCACTTAACTGCTAAGAGTGACCATTAGTTGTAAGATGGTGGAGAAGGTTCTCTATAAATAGAACCATTATGGAAATGTGGAGAGTATGTCATGATTTAACTGTATTTGAATATATGAGATAACTAGATTGCTAAATGTTTTTCTTACTAACTGCCAGCTTTTCTATTTCTGCATATGGTTCGACCTTCCTGTCAAAGATCTAAATTCCTAAACACCGAGGTATCTTTGACCTTATCTTCTTTCTCACCATGCCCACAATCCAATCATTTATCAAATTTTATCTCACACATCTATCTCTTCCTTTCCATTAGCTCACCAATGTCTTAGATCAAGTGTCTTTTAACTTTTACCTAGACTCTAATGGCCTCCTAATTGGTGTCTTTGCCTCCAGTCTCTCCCCCTTCCCAATCTTTTCTTCACATACCTTTTTTTTTCCTAACTGAAAGGTTAGATGATGATTCTCCCCCTTACTCAAAAGCCTTGGTTGGCTTCCTAATACCTATAGAATAAATTTTTTTTTAAAAAAAATCTATAGCTTAATGCCTACAGGTTTCCATAAGTAGCCTACATTAATTAAGTCTACCTTTATTTCATACCATTCCTCTTCATAGATATCACCATGTCAGCTAAACAGGACTATTCGCTGTTCTCTGATTTCATCCCATCTTCTCCCATATCAGTGCAATCCCTTCTCAACTCATCTGTTGAAATCTTCTTCCTTCAAGATTCCAGACCTCTTGCCACCTCTTACAACAAACTTTCCCACATCCCAGCTGAAAATCTCTCTCTCTCTCTCTCTCTCTCTCTCTCTCTCTCTCTCTCTCTCTCTCTCTCTCTCTCTCTCTCTCTCTCTCTCTCTCTCTCTCTCTCTCCCCATCCCTCCCTCCCTCTCTCTCTCTCTCTCTCTCTCTCTCTCTCTCTCTCTCTCTCTCTCTCTCTCTCTCTCTCTCTCTCTCTCTCTCTCCCCCCCCTCACCATTTTACTTGGATCTCCAATTTTTCCATTGACACATTCTACCTCACATCGTACTTCTCTGAAGATATATCTGACCTCCCCTCATGGATTATAAAAGATGGTGTTTTTCTTCTTTGTAGCTAAAGAACCTAGCACACTGCCTTGCTCATAGCAGATATTTATTTTTGCCTTTTTCAGAACTTTTTATTGATTCCTTTTTTTACATCATAATTTCCCTCAGTTGTTTGATTGGTTGTTGTCCTTTTGTGCTTAAAGAGGACTAAAATTACATCATTATGTCAGGGTCCAAGTGCAGCGTGTCTGACTGTGGCTGATCAGACCAATATGAACTTGGAAGGCTTTAGCAGAGGTTGGGCACCAATCATCCATATGAACATTTGGAGTGAAGATGTCTTTAAATTTGCGCATCTCACATTTCTTTTCCCAAGTATCCCTTCTCACAGAGAGCCAACCCATATAAAATATTTTTAAAACAAAAAGAAAAATAGGAAAAAATCATTAACACCAATAAATACACTGAAAAAGTCTGAAAACACATCAATGATGTGCAACATCAGTGGATCTCCCATTACCATGAACAGTTGGTTTGGGATGTCCTCTCATAGCAGGCATTTATTTTCAAATGGAATTGAATTACACTGTAAGGTGGGTACAGAAAAAAAAAAGGTTCCTAGCCTTTTGGATTCCATGTACTCCTTAGCTTAAAGCTAACCTTACTGAAGGTTTTCTGTCCTCATGCTCCATATTCAAAATGAAGAAAAATAAATTCTAGAGTTTATCATGCAAATGGACCCAAATGTTTTTTCATGATGAAACATTTATTCAGTACACAACATGTTTACTATTATAAAATTGTTAAATGCCAAGATACAGTCTAATAAATCAGTGAGATACTTGATTCTTTTTCTTATTGAATAATTAATAATAATAACTAGTATTTACACAGCACGTACTATGGGGCAGGCAGTTGCTTTACAAATATTTGTCTCATTTAACTCTCACAGCAACTCCATGAAGTAGGTGATATTATTCTCCCCAATTTATAGGAAATTGAGACAAAGTTTAAATGACTTGCCCAAGGTCACATAGCTAGTAAGTATCTGACTCAGGGTTTGAATTCAGTTATTCTTGACTCCAAGCCCAGTATTCTATTACCACATCACATCACTTCCATATTAATCAATAGTTTTATACTCAATTTAGTGTTTGAAAGAGATGCCTAAAGATCATGTTCAGCCTCTAATTTGTTTCTCCCTTGGAATCTGATTGTGAAAAGCACTGAGAATGCTGATTCACAGAGATAAGTCATTATAAATGGAATTAAAGCCTTCTGAACAGTTCAAGTAGAAACAGAATATATTTCTCCAAGTATACTCCCCAAATTTCTTAACTCCATTGATTGCAAATCAATTCAGAGTTCCTAGTTATTGCAGAGATCAATTAGATCATCTTTCTATGGGTCATTGTTGATTACTTTTTTCCTTAGCTCAGTATGAAAAATGTCTCAAATCTCTAAATCATCCACTTGTCTTTTGGTCAGTAAGAAGTTTGCCTGCATCTTTCTTTTTCATAATTTACAGATGTTCCATAATGATCTTTTCTCTCAATCTCCTCAACCTGATTGTTCTCTCTGTAATCTACTTTTTTTCTATAACACTACTACTTTTTCAATGTTTCAATATGACAATATAATTATTTATAAAATATTCCCAGTGTTACTTTAACAAACTTCCTGTACCACCCTAGATTGACAACTCCTGGTGGAGAGGATATAAATTATTAAAATAGGCAATTAAACATATTATAATAATAAAATGAGCAAATGCCCAAATCATCAGATATTGATGTCCAAATCTCTAACACTTTGGTGGCTACATCTGAACCTCTTTGAGGGAAATTTAAAGATGTTTTCTGGCCTTCAAGTCTAATAATGCAAGAGGATACCATGAAAAGAATCTGAGTGCTTAATATAGTCAGTGACTTTTAAAGATAAGGGGGAAAATAACCCTTTGTTTTGCAGGGTTTTATACCACAACAAAACACAAGAGAAACAATATAAAACATATATAAAACATAAGAGAAATATCATTGTTTGTCACCAAAAATATATCTTAGAAGTATTCAGGATTCTGGGATTCCATGGCCATAGGTTTTATGACCATGTAAGTTTGGGAAATTTCTCACATTGGTGTTGGGTCAGTACCACTCAATTTTTAGGTACATCTGCCTCAATACCTCTTCATCTCTGTCTTCTTTCACCCATCTGCCTACATATATATATATATATATATATATACACACACACACACACACATATGTACAAAATGTAATCACATATTACATGAAACCATTCTCATAAGTTAAAATAAGAAATAGAAAGAATACTTTTTATTTTAAGATGTGGAGTGTACATATCTTCATTATGTCCAGTTCTGCTGACTTCGTTTTAGGAAGGACAAACGAGGACATGTTCAGAAAAGGACATCGAAGATGGTATTAAGACGCGATATTTTTGCCACATGAGAATAGCTTGAGGGATCAAGAAATGTTTAGTCTGGAAAAGAGAAGACTGAGGGGTACGTCAGAGCAGTCTTCAAATGTCTAACTAGCTGCAATGTAGTAGGTAGATCTAATTTATTTCATTGTCCTGTTTGCTACTAGGGAGCAGAGCTAGTACCAATAGAAAAAGTTGCAGAGAGATGTATTTTGTCCTAATATAAGAAAAAAAAGTCCTAACAATTAGAAATGGTCCAAAAATTGAATGAATTTTCTTGGTAACTCATGATTTTGTCTCAGAAGTCTCTAAGCAGATAATGGATAGCTGCTCTTTGAGGATTTGTAGATTGAATCCAGACTTTGATATGAGGAGACAACACTAACTCTGAAATTCTTGAATTATTTTTCTCATCTGATCCTAACCAAAAACAAACAAATAAACAAAAATAGCAGCAATATGGGTCTCATCTATTAAACCAATTCTACAAATAAGGGATCAAGACTCAGGGGGATTAAGTGACCTGTCTAAAATCATGGAACCAGTTAGTGGCAAAGCTGGGAACATAAACGCTTCTCCTGACTCCCTCTACCACTCTCTAAGAACAAACCTGAGATAGCTGAAAGAGGAACAAGTACAGAAGAAAATGGCCTCAGTTGTTTGATGCTATTTGTTAAGATACATAAAAAAAAAAGCAGTAACCAGAACAACTTGGAGCATCCCATTGGTACCATTAAGGAGTATTTGAAAATATACTTTTTTTTTAAATTTAAGGAATTGACATCCTAAACATTACCATAACTAATGAGCTAAATGTTCTTTTTGATAGATGCTTGGATTTTTATTGTGGTTGTTGTTTGTTCGTTTGTTTTCCATTCATGGAAATAAAAAAGAGTCCAGTCCTTTGTCTACTGACACACTACCTCCAAGAATAAAACATGTCTCCTAAAAATGAGGCATTTAATTCAATTATAAAGGAAGAAAAAACAACCGGAAACTATGTCAATAGGAATTGATTAAATCTTTTCATAGCACTGCATTTTAAATCACTCGTGAAGTGGTAACAACATACACTTTTGATTGATCTTCTTGAAAGGTGACTAACCTTTCAATGAAGCCCCACTTCCAAGACTGATATCTTGCTGTTACATTGTGAGGCCTAAGGTATTATATTCCATCACAATGGAAAGAGTGCAAATATTGCTCTGGGGTATCAGAACATTGCTGTTCCACATGAACCAGACTCCTCTACCTCAATGGCTTTTGAAATTGTTTTGAGCAAAGCTTCCTGTTGAAGTGCCTCACTTCCTTTATGGGTCAAAAAGATTCAAAGATTCCTTTCAAATATCTTAATTTCCCAGAAAACACCCCTTCAAAAGAACAGGAAAAGTATGTTTCC